TTGAGATTCACCCCTAAAATTCCTGTTTTTAGAAAACAGATAAAAACCCTTAAGACAAAGGACCCAGTGTGTGCTCTCCCTGGAACATGTCCTTGCTCCCGCCGCCCACCCCCCCACCCCCCACCCATTCTTTCCTTGGCACGCATTTTTGCTTTGTTTTCATAGCACTAGAGTTCTGGGTTCTGAATTCTTTCTTTGCCGAACTTAAGAACCGAGGTCCATCATCACCATCTATATATATAAAAAGCCAGCGACCTTAATGCCATCATGACTAGAATGACCAGAGACCAGAACACCTCTCCCAGGCCAGCCTCGCCCCCCAGCGGGGACCCCCACCCTGATCTGGGGCCCCCATCAGGGCAGGCCAGCTGGTCCCCACCCGTGCACCAGGCCTCTATTCCTATATAATAAAAGGGTAATATGCAAATTGACCCTAAAGGTGGAATGACCATAACGACCGCTGGACCAGTCACTATGAGGCACACTGGCCACCTCTCGGTCCCTTTCCCCGGCCAGCAGGCCCCTGATGGCGAACAGGGAACGGGGATGGGTGGCAGGGGATGTGGGCGGTGCCAAGCCAAGGCCCCCACCCCATTGGTCGCCCCACACACAGAGGGCAACCCACAGCAGGGGTGGGGCCTGTGAGCGGGCAGGAACAGCTGACCTCTCAGTCCCTTCCCCCATCTGTCAGGCACTGATCAGCCAATGGCAAAGGGGGAACCGGGGGTGGGTGGTGGGGCCGGCTGTGGGCCCACAGCCGAGGAAGATGGCCCTGATCACAGGTCAGTCCTAGGGACTGTACCCACGCATGAATTTCGTGTGCTGGGCCTCTAGTTAACAATACCAATGTTGCTGTTCCTTGAATCTTAAGGACTTATAGACAATAACGGAGCTAGGACTAGGATTTGCTTATAAATAACACCAAGCAGCTTAGGCTTTCTTTAGCAAGACCATGTCACTTTCATAAGTAAAAAATATTATTTCTACAATGACATATTGCTAGTAAATTTTTGCCTTACTCTTTCCAGGTTACCTAAAAGTCCTAAAGAAAAATCAAGTGTGGGACAATCTATACTGATAAAAGGGTAATATGCTAATTAGGGCGGACGTCTTCCAGGTGTCCTTCCGGACAAAGCCGCAGCAGCTGCCTGGGGCTCAGGCAAGCTGCGGATGGCAGCTGCTGCTGCCAGGGCCGGCCCGAGGCTCAGGCAGGCTGAGGATGGCGGCTGCTGCTTGGAGGGCCTGAGGCTCAGGCAATGAGAGCCGGGTTGAGGCTCAGGGAAGCCGCAGTGGCTGCGAGGTCCGAGGCTCAGGCAGCCTTGGTGGCCAGCAGTGGCAGCAGCAGAGGCATGATGGGGGCAGCGCCTTCCCCTGATTAGCCAGTTGCCTCCTGCAGAGGGAGGCCAGACTGTGGCTTAGGCCTGCTCTCCTGGGCCTAAGCCATCAGTAGGACATCCCCTGAGGCCTCCCAGACTATGAGAGGGGGCAGGCCAGGCTGAGGGACCCCCCCCCCCCGCCCAGTGCATGAATTTTCGTGCACCGGGCCTCTAGTATTATCTATAAATATCAAAGTGTTATTTTTCCTTGAGGAGTTAAAGTTCTATTATTAATAAACCTATGATATTAAATTCTTTGCTCTTCACAAAAATATCTAGGACTTTCCTTAAAATGTTTTGTTAAGGAAGACACTGCTTATTATGGTATTAGTTTACACTTTTAGATAGCCTGAGAAGTTATATTTATTTTAATTATATAAAGACTTTTTAGTACTTTTTGGAGGCAATTATCATCATTAACACTTCATTGCATTTTGGGAATAACAAAAACATTATTGTTTTTTAATGATAGTACTAACCTACACCAAAACCAAATGCTTTTATGTCTCACTTCCACACTAGGCAGACAGGAGTTTTGCTTCTGCAGTATTTAGCACAAATGCCTTTAGATATACTGTTTACTTTCTCTTGTATTTTTAAAGAGTTTGCATTTTTAATGGCCCTAGTTTATTGGAGGACAATTCCCCGTGGCGCAGTCAGCATTCATTATTAATGTTTTCTATTCTAAGGCAGATGGAGTTCTGTAAATCTAAACATGTGATTAGCACACTCTGTTTTTGCTATAAATGATGTGTCAACCTAAAGGCAACAATCCTATTCACATACACTCTCCTCACAAAGAGAATGACCTTCCATAATTCTCTGAAACTCAATAATATGGATTTTCCTCAAGGAAACACACTGTGATGTTTGGATTAAAAACAAAACAAAACACTGCTCTATTTTTATGGTCATTGATATGGAAGGTTTCCACACATCTTCCTTTGAGTTTGAGAAAGGTAAGTGAATGTGTTCCCATCTTGAGATTAACTGGCATATATGCCACTTTAAACTCTGCTCACTAAAGAGTTTTACAGGGAAGTCACGTGGCCAGGTATGCCTCAGCAGCCTGCCCTTCGCGGCCCCTCCCACTTCACAGATGAACCAGCCAAACTGTAGACAAAGCCTGAGAGAGCAGCCTCAACGCCCAGGGATGCAGGACTCATACAAACTGCCCCATACCCATGTCCTTCCCTTAGAGCTTCCAGTATTAGTCAGTAAAGGCGTTAGCTTTAAGGGGGGAGGAGGCGATAAAAAGAGGCACAAGGAATTTTCTATATCTCAATTTGAACAATGTCTACACAGGTGTTTACATATGTAAAACTTCATTAAGCTAGAGTGAAGTATTTTACATACCTCACCGCTGAATTAATACATACAAGGATCCATTTGCATTGTGCATTGCTGTTTCTTTTGCAGTAAACGCCCCTGAAATAGCTGTGGATCCAATGATTTCCTTATAGGCTTCTTCCTTGGTGCCCTCCTCTGTGACCAGAATGTAGCTCACCAGGCCTTGTTGAGTTGTCAAAACAGCTATGCAGACAAGACTGAGGCAGAGAGAGGACACGGGCTCTTGCTGAAAGGATGTACATAAAAAAGGGGGTCATGTAAAACAAGGTGCCAAGGTCCAAATCAACAGAGAACTGGGGGTAGGAAACAGGTACCAGGCTTGGTCACTGAACACATCAGACCAACCACCAAAGTGACTAAGAATAACAAGTGAACCCTTGCTAGTTTGGCTCAGTGGATAGAGCATTGCCCTGCGGACTGAAGGGTCCCAGGTTCGATTCCAGTCAAGGGCACATGCCCATGCCTGGGTTTCCAGCTGGGTCCCCAGTGGGGGGCATGCAGGAGGCAGCCAATCAATGATTCCCCCTCATTATTGATGTTTCTATCTCTCCCTTCCTCTCTGAAATCAATAAAAATATATTTTTAAAAATTAAAAAAAAATAAGTGAATGGGGTGGACCAGCCAAATAGCAAATAGCAGTGTCTACCTCCTTGACATTAACAGGTATTTCATTTAAGGAAGGAACTGACCTCAATTTAACCAAAATAATTCCTATCCATGATAGCTCTCTACAACCCTTCAACTTGGAATTATTCTAAAGTAGAACAAACTGTCTTTCAAAGACAATATACTTGTACCTCTACCAATGAAGCCTTTATGATGTAATATTTGAAGTTCCCTCATTCAGCTTGCTGCATCTTGACCATTTCTGGCATGCAAGGTTATTGTAGGCCATGCTAATTTATAGTCCCTCTTCAACTGCAGTGGTTACAGCAGCCATACCTATCATTTATCATCTAACTACAGTGTTCACAAATGTGCCCCACCCTCCCATCCTCCGACTGGCAGTGTTGCTGCAGATGTACATAATTGCCAAAGTCTTCAGGGCGGGACAAGTCACTTTTCTCTAACGCCATTCAATTTTGTTTTACATTTCCATCACTTCCAAATTTCTTATTCCATTGCCTTGCCTCTTTGTTTATCCATTACATGTTTATTTTTAAATTATCATCACTATACTTTAAGAGTACACAAAGTCAAAGGATTTTTGATAACATTTTCTGAAAAAAAGGAGTGAAGAGTATAGAAATATCTTCCAATATCGTAACTGTGGTTGGGTATAGGTGTATTAAGTTATGGTCCCTGCTTCCTTTTTCATTTTAATTGAGAGAGAGAGAGAGAGGGAGAGAGAGAGAGAGAGACTTGTTGTTCTACTTATGTATGCATTCATTGGTGAATTCTTGTATGTGTCCTGACAGGAAACCCACAACCCTGGCATATTGGGGGGGGGGAGGGGGGCGGGGGGGGGGGGGATGCTCCAACCAACTGAGCTACCTGGACAGGGCCCATTTCAAGAAGGCAATTTAGTGTTCTGTTGCTGTCCTGAGCGAGAACAGTGACTATCTGTTACGGTGACGGTGATGCTAGGAATCATTTGTAAATTCCCTACCGGCCAATAACGGTGCCAGCAGCAGTGGCGTCTGGCGAAGAGTGAGTCCGAGACACACAAGAACCGCTCAGGAACAAACAGCGTTCCTACAGGGCGGAGGCTCCGCATTTCCCGGGTCCCCTCTCCTGCGCCTCTCCATCCCTGACCTGTGTCCACCTCCTCCATCCTCCCTCCTCGCCCAACTTCCACCGGCTGCCCAGGGTGCCCCGAGCTCCCAGCCTTCCTCTCGCCTCCGCCAGCGGGGCTGGGAGGCTGGTACCCACCGACCGCGCCTGCCCCGCCCGCGCACGCGCAGAGCCTCTTCTCGCGCGACCGCGCAGCCATCACCAGCGACAACCCCACCCCGCCCGCCGAGGGATGCGAGGTCCGCAGCCAGCCAGCTTCGGACTCTGTGGTCGAGCGACGGGCGTCGCCACTATCTCCGGACTCCTCCTACCCTACACGATCCCCCCTCACATTCCTCGGCACCGAGTCCACAGGGCGCGCGTTGGGCCTCAAAACAGTAACTTGGAGGGTCCCCACGCAGGAAGGTGCTGTGGGGCAGGAACGGAACGCGCGGCCGCCGAGCCCCGAGCGGAGCCCCGCCCCCCAGGACCGACTTCCTGCCTCCGCATTGGCCCGCCTGCCCGTCAGTCTCCGCCCATGGGGCCCGCCGGCCCTCCTCCGGGTCCCCCCGGCTGCCGGATCCCGCCCTCTCTGTACGTTACTTCAGTGCCAGCCGGCTCCCGGACTGGCCGCTCCGCCGCCGCGCACCTGAGTTGGCACTGCCTCGGGGAGACCCGGCGAAGGGGAGGGCCGGGCCGGAGCTGATCATCGCCCGGGCGGGGGCAGGGCCGCGGCCTCTTTGCCGGCAGCACCACCTGTCGCGGAGCGAGACGTCGGGTAAGGCTCCGTGCGGCACGCGGCTGCGGGCGGCCTGGCGCGGCCGGCGGGCCGGGCGGGGGCTCCGGGAGGCGAGCGGGCGTCGGCCTCCTGCCGCCTGGCCCGGGAAGCCGAGCCTGACCCGCCGCCGGCTTCCGCGCGTGCGGCCGGCGAGGTCCCCGCTTGGCGGTTGGGGCGGCGGGGTGAAGGGAAGGGGTTCGCTGAGGGCGGGGGGGAGCGGCCAGGTCGCGGAACCCCCAGTTCGGCCGGCCACCGCTCTTCCCCGGCGCCCGGTTTGGGGGCGTGACTTCCCCGTTTCTTGACTCGCTGGTCCCGGGGCGACCCTTTTCCCGCGCGGAGCGAGGCCCTGTGGCCTCCCCAACGCGAGCATCTCTCTCCCCTCCCGCGCCCTTTACAGACCGATTTTGAGGCTCCGAACCTCTTTGGCAACTTGGCCTCTTTTTCTGCAGGGGTGAGTTCATGATGAGTTAGGCGGGTGCGTGCGTGTGTGTGTGTGTGTGTGTGTGTGTGTGTTTGTGTGTGTTCTTCGCTGGAAGGAAGTTTGCTGCGGGCTAGAAAGTTCTAAGATCGGGCCGGTTCCGCCCATTCATAGGAAATTGCATCTGTGGACCACGATTGGCAGGTGTTTGACTCAAGCCGGTGATAACCATCGCTGCTTGTGTGTGGTTCCACCCGTGGTCTTGGATTTGACTTCCTTGATTCCGAAGATAATTCTAGAAAATATGTGTTGCCCTTTCAGGAGAGGCTAACCAAAATAATAAGTCGCAACAGAAGTGCTTCCCTGCTGAAGCTATTTCATATCTGACTTACCTTCCTAACACTTGCGGCGATCACTTCTAAGCAAAGCATTTCATAGCGTTGTTTCTTTCAGTTTTGCAATTGATGATGGTAACGATAGAAGCACGTATTGTCCGCTACATGAATTGTCTCCAAATTGCACTTTGAGATAGTACTGTTATTCTGTTCAGTTTACAAAGATTACAGGTTTTAAAGGGCAAAACCTGCATTCAAACCCGGTAATCTAACATAATAGCTCCAGTCCCTTCATAACCCTGTAAAGCTAATGGCAATGCTTTACTCAAAAGTTTTTCTCTTCAGTTGCCAAGCATTCTGGAAGTTAGAGAAGATACAGTATCAGATATATATAGTTTCGTGTATGTATATATAAATACACTCATACATCTACACATGTCAGTAATAGTAGTTACACAAAATATAAATATTTAATCTATTGTGTAATTACGTATGTACATATACATACATATATACACATGCTAGTTATAGAAGTTACACAAAAGATAGATAGCCCTAACCGGTTTGGCTCAGTGGATAGAGCATCAGCCGGCGGACAGAAGGGTCCCAGGTTCTATTCCGGTCAAGGGCATGTACCTTGGTTGTGGGCACATCCCCAGTAGGGGGTGTGCAGGAGGCAGCTCATCGATGTTTCTCTCTCTCTCATCGATGTTTCTAACTCTCTATCCCTCTCCCTTCTTCTTTGTAAAAAATGAATAAAAATATATGTTTTTTAAAAAGATAGATAAATATATAACCTATTATATAACTACTATAACTAGTTGTTACATGTTGCTATGTTACATGGCTTGCAGAAATACAGAAAAAAAAACAGTTTATATCTTATAATATTGGACATTTAAATAATCAACTGTGAGCTCTAATTTTGTAACCTATATCTGACATTTTTATGGTAGTTATAAAGACTTAAAGTTAGACATAGAGACCAGAAATTCTGTTATAACCTTTACCGTGCATTAATAGGAAATGTTGGGCTATGCTTTTGTTGACATTCTTCATTCTCTTGAGAATTAAAACAGTCTCTCACTCAATAGTTACTCCTGTGAAAGAACTGCTAATGGATTTCTCCCTTAGAAGGTGTTTGTGTATAATGTTTTTGTCTTTTTAAATATAAGAAAACACATTAAAATTTCATAAAGGAAAAAACCCATGTATCATTTCAGAATTTCTTTTATAAATTAACTCTTATATAAACTAAAATAAATTCTAATTTATGTTGGTGAATTTCAGAAAAACTTAGCCATATTTTGAAATATAAATAACACTAAAACCTATAGTTTACTAAGGATAATATTAGAGGAATAAATTCATACTAAATATATAAATTACATTTGATTTTATAAAAAGGTAACTATTTATTAAAAGCTATTTTATTTGAAAATCACCATTTTCATTATATGACTGTATATTATATCTCCTTTGATCAATATAAACAAATTTCAAAAGCAATGAAAATACTGATTTTCTAGATATTGTTTAGGATGGCATTTGATGATGCTTGCATCTGTATGTCATTCAAATTCGCATTCTTGACCTGGAGATTTAGTTTGAAATAGTTTAAATAAATATTAACCCTGATTATCCTCATAGCCTCTTAATAAAAACATCACATTAGAATATGTTATGCAGAAACTAACAAGCATTTAGAAAGCACTTCTGGCCACCTATTACAGTGGGGCGTTTAATTCGTTCGGAGACCAAGCTCGTTAAGGAGCTCATTAAGGAGCTCGTTAACTCAAATTACTCTATCAACTCAATGCAAAAAATCTCCTAGAGACAGCTGGTATCTCAAAAAACTCTATCTCAAAAAAACTCGTTAGTCGGGACACTCGTTAGTCAGGGCCCCACTGTAGTAATATTAACAATGATGCTTAATTAAGAAGTATAGAGCACTTAGAGGGCACTGTGATAAGCATATTACACGGATTATATAATTTAAATCTTATAAAAGCCCTATTTGGTAAGTCCTGTTGTTTATCAACCCCACTTGAGTGATGAGATTGTAACTTCCTCTAACTTCCTCAAGATCACAGAGCTAGCAGTGGCAAAGCCAGGGTTTAAATCCAGCTGTTTGATCCCAGAGCTTGCTTTTGATGGTTGTGCTACACTGCCTGGATATGGATACTATTGAATAGACCTTCAGGTCAAGTAGTCAAGCTTTTTATGATAGTACAGCTCTGAAGGTGCTTTGTTATCTGATGACGCTTTATATATGTCATCATCGCTGCACACCAACTCTGCAAAAGAGTTTTCCATCTATTTTATTGATGAGACAGTGAGACTTCTAAGTCAGTAGTTCCCAGACTTTTGGACTTTGTGGGCAAGTCAAAAAAGAAAAAGAAAAAGGACAGTCTGTATAGGGGGCTATTAGGACCAGACATAAGATCGAAAACCTAATTCTGTTAAGGGTAAGAACCTATTTAAATGCTAACTACAAGCTATCGTCCCCATCCTTTCATAAAATAAAGGACATTGTTACCACCAAAAAAGGTAGGAACATCATAATTACAGCATGAAAACAAAGACAAATTTAGTGTTATGAAAAACTATATTACATTGTCCTAGTTTTTCTTATTTGGTCACAGACCAATTCAGAGAGCATCTGGGATTGCCCGAGTGACACAGCTGATTCCAAACTGGTTATTTGCTGAGTCCAGATTCAGATTCAGCTCTGTCTGACTGCAGAGTTTGTGCTCACTGCAGCAATTCATGACCTCTCTCTAATTTGCATCTCCAGTGCATTGACCTTCTCCTTTCTCCCCTCAGGTAGGGAGGGGGCCAGGGGAGTAGTCTCCAGCAGCCAGTGGCCTAGCAGTTTCTGTCCCAGTCCAATTTATAAACAGCACTCAGAGAGTGAGTTCTACTGCTCCCCAGGGCAAGACACTGGGAATGACACATCAGGGGAGGAACTCCAGGTATATCTCAATATCCAAGAAACTCTCAAGTAAGCAGCTTGATTTTACATATTTATTCAGAATGAGAAGTTCCACCTTTTTTTGGTTTCGTTTTTACTTCACTCATTTTTACAGTTCTCTTTCCATCATCTATCTATATATATAAAAGGCTAATATGCTAAGTGTCTGTCTGGGTAATGACATCACAGAGCAACACCCAGCTTCCTCTCCCTAGAGAGACTAGCCTCCTTGCAGCTTCTTCAGCCCAGGAACACGGCTTGCTTTATAGCCAGGTGCAAACATTTTACACTTTAACCAAATGGCTGTGAAGCGTTTTCCTGTGCCTCATCTCATTTGATCCTCACAGAAGTCTTGGAGTAGGTAGATAGGAGACTCGATGGAATTCTGTTTTCATTAGCCAGAAAATGGAGATTTAGAAAGCTTAGAAACTTGACCCGACTGAAAAGAAGTAAGAAATGGTGGACCTTGAAAATGACTTCAGGTTTTCTCACTGCACAGAATATAGTCAAACACTGCTGCAGCTAAATATTTTACCCTTTGTTCTCCCTGCATGATCTACAATAATAATCTGCTTCATGTTGATATTTACTGCTGTGTTGTTGATAATTACCTAAAAGAGAAGTTGGAGTGCTTCACTGGGCTAGAAAAAGTTAGCTACATCAGAAAGCAGGTCTAATTAAGCAAATTTATTCTATATCTATAGAAGGCTAAGTTGACTCGCGCATGCGCAGTACATATAAAGTTCTCTCTGGTGCCAATCGCACGCATGTTTCCATCTGTCATTGTCTATCGTGAATTTGGTTGACACTTCTATTATAGAGAAAGGGTGAATAGCGATATTAAAATATTTCTTCTAATTAATTTCCTTTCAATGTGCACAAATTCGTGCACCGGGCCACTAGTATCTATATAACATAAGAGTTAGGTGTGATTCCCCTCTCTCCCATTTTATCTTGTCTCCAGCTGGTCCTAAGCCCACCTGTCTGTCTGTCTGTCTTTCAGCCCTTGGATCGAATTTTGGCAGGTTTTTTTCCTTAAGTTACTTATTTATTTATTTTTATGCCTGCTTGTTCTAAAGGCACTATTAACTTATAGATGATCCTTGAATAACTTGAGGGTTAAGGGAGCTGACTAGCCACACAGTCAATATCCACGTATAACTCAAGTTGGCCCTCCACATAAACAGGTTCTCAACCATGAGTCAGAAATATAGTTGACCCTTGAACAACGTAGGTTTGAACTATGTAGGTCCACTTATACACAGATGTAAAT